ACTGACACAATAACTCACATCTCAGTGAGTGATTATATTCCATATATCCTAAAAATGAACTTGTTATTAAGAATACTACCAAAACTAGTAGGTCTGCTTCATATCTTGATCTTATCTTATACATAACAATGAACGTTCTGCTCCAACGAAATTATGAGGAAGAAAGACTGAAGTCGACACTACATCAGTTTCACGGCCACCATCACGAATTGGTTGACCGATACAATATGTCTATATCTAAACTCACTAGCAACACTATCGTTCTGTGCTATTCTTTATCATGACATTTTGTGTGCATTTGTTGCATGGCAGGTGATGCAGGCAGAGCCTACCCTGTACTCGCACCCGGTCCCGCTTCTTGTTTTAAGTTTATTAGATTCCATCAGTATTTGTTTGTTGCATTTATTTGTCGTTGCTACATTTATTTGTCGTCTCAATCGATTTTGAGATTTGAATATCTGTAAACTACTGTTTCTTTATTCATGGTATTTCATCAAATAGAAGAAAGAATGTAGATTTAACTTTAATTTTGTGGAACTTTTACTTTTAATTTTACAAGCACAAATGAAACCCAAACAATTGAAAAGAAATATTAATTTTTCGATGTAATCTTTTTCTTGTTTTCAGACTTTTACTTCCAAATTTAGTTTATTTAGTTTAAGTTAGGACCATGAGTCAAGTGGTTATGAAATATTAAAGATTCAGATGTGTATCTCGTCCAGAATGCGTATAATGAGAAACAACTTGTAACACATATTGTAATGTTTATATGAATTGAGGAAATTACTTTTGTATTTCTTATGCAACACAGCACCACATACACATGTCTGTAAATTTATAATAGACTGTATATGGTTTTGACACTTACCTTATTTTCAACAGTAACTAAATAGAACCGAAACAAACTTATTTGCGTCATAGTACAAGTGATTCAGACAAACTCCCTTGAAAGAGGAAACATTGAAAATGACACAATTTTTTTAATTGAGAAACGTTTCTTCCTTAAAAGACACATCCAATCTTTTTTATACCGACTGTTGCCCACTGAAAGAACATCAAATAACCGTCACATTTATCGGAAACGAATGCATCACAAGTGTCACGACCGAAAACAGTATCATATTGTCACAAAATATGCATCTAGAATTTAGGAAGTTACATGAAATTAGATAACATTTTTTTAAATTGTCGACCCAGTTAGGTACAATAAAATATAGATCACTTTAGGCTGTTCCCGTCAATTAAAGAAATGGTGGTAAAAATCTCATTAACCTAGTTTAACTAAGCTTTATGTCCTTATGTCTCTTCAAGTCAGTAACGTTGTCAGTGATTGTCTTCTGATATTTTCTTTTGTATCAAAATAGTATGGTTTGGATTTGTATTTCTGCTCGCATAGGTAGTCTGTATTATTAACCTCATTACTTTTGCGGTCTTCAGTCGAATTATTATTAACATGATGTACATAAACCCCTTGTGCTTGTCGAAGACTGTTTTTTCGTCTATATGATTTTTTTCTTTTTTTGTGTCTCAGGATTGTTATCTCATTATTATTTACTGAAGAAACCCAAATGTTATCTTGATTAGAGAATGAACATAATTCACAGGCATTAATGAACAAACTGACTGGATTTTACGATGTCATTTTATTATTACTGCATGTTATGCTCAGTAAAATTTTAATGCCACTTGTCAAGTGTGAAAAGAAGAAACAAATATAAATGTAATGCATATATTCGATCGTTTGGTTATTAACGGGCCGGGCAATATGAGTAATTGTACCATATAGTTTCTTTTTGTAAAAAATATTGCTTCTTTTATCGATGTAGATATTTTATCGACTAACTATCGACTAAAGTCCAAATTACAGAAATATGTTTTATTTCAAATACAATCACACCAAATAACCAAATTACATACAAACATATTTTTTCAACTTTGCTTTAAAATATATATAAATATTTATATATATATATATATATATATTGAAAAAAAGTAACATTTACACACATACGTGCATATAAATACATTTACATGTGTAAACAATTTTTGTTATTATTCTCATTGAATTTGCTTTTGCTACAATAGTATATATTTGCTATGTGTATAGTCTCTTGGTTAAATCAAATATCTAGTTGCAGGTTAAGCATACCTTCATTGATGGAAATATTAATAATCAATGATAAAAAAAAAAAATGATATCATATAAATATTGACAAAAATCATTTTAAAACAGAATGGAGAATAGAAGATATAGGATATGGGTCTTTATGTGCCCACTGATTTATCACATTCTGGCTGTGTTTCAGTTTGGAACTGGAATTTTTTATTCAGATTTATTGATTGGCCAGAAAAACAAAGACACACACATTTCTTTCTTCTTATAGTATTTAAAATGTGACATTCGTATACTTTTATAAACATAGAAAATTGATGATCAAAACCGGATAATAAAAGTTTTATTACTGGTGGAACTTTTAAAAAATAATCAATAAAAAACAGTATCAACTGTGATATAGTTCATCTGCCATAAAAGTTAGCTCAGACATATCTTTTCAACTGTAATGAATATATTCATTAGTTCACGTATACTCTCTATGCCATTAAACCTTTGCTCTAAAATATCGTATTAATTGTAATATATGCATACTCCATGTGCAGGCGCTAATGCATTGTTCCTGCATTAAAATTAAGAGTTCCTTATTACGAATCTGACATTAACCCCTTTTGCATAAAGTTTTGATCTAAACTGATCCTAATGCATTTGTCATTGTCGATTTCCAAATGTAAGTCAAGATATGAAGCTGACTTAACTAACTGTATGTTTGTCATCTATTATTCGAATTTCGATAGGATACATCCATTCAACATAGTAATCAAACTTTAAATTATTTAGCAAAAGGACATCAACTATATAGCTGATTTTGAACTTTTTATTTTTCATAGAAGCTCTCGAATAAAGGACGAAGTCGACAAGATTGGGGGAAACATTCCAGTAGGAATTGCAATTGATTATTAAAAAAACATCCCTGCAAATGTTACAATTATACATTCAATAAAAAAATCAAACCTTTTGATGAGGAGAAATTCGAACTATTTCTTGATTGAATCAGAGTGGATTCACACGAAGCATGATTTATCTCGTCAGAAAACTACATCGTTGTATCTACGTTAGTAATTTTGTTACGAAAAGAGGTTGGACATATTCTTTGCATCTCTACTTAAATATATAAAAAATAAGAAGATCATATGATTGCCAATGAGACAACTCTCCATCAGAAACCAAATGACATAGAGGTGAACATCAATAGGTCCCTATACGGCCTTCAACAATGAGCAACATTCATATTGCAAAGTCATCCATAAAAGGCCCCGAAATGACAAATGTAAAACAATTCATACGAGAATACTAACGGCCTAATTTATGTACAACACAATGAACGAAAAAGAAATATGAGATAAACAAACGACAACCACAGAATTATAGTGTTCCCGACATAGGATTAGCAAACACAGGTTGTGGCTGTGTTAAACATATATGCGGGCGCCCAATCCCCTCCCCATAGCCTTGAACAGTGGTGAAACAGTTTAGAAGAAGAACAAACTATAAATAATCACTCGAAGAAGGCCTAAATTATCAGATCCATACACAGCAGAAAAGCAACTAACAAAAACACAGACCGGACTTAGCAAGGTGTTTATACATTCTCACAGTTAGAAAGACCCTTAGGACAGATCTGAGAGTACTCGAAGTTACTGACAGCTAGTTCAAAGCCAATACCAACTAATCAAAAAATCATGTTTCTTAGACTAAAGTATCAATCAGTACACCTCCAACATTAAATTGATTTAGTGTAAAGACGTCATTAGCTGTCAGAGAAAAACACGACTTTGTGCAATGCTTGAATAAAAGTATCGACTGATTGTAGAACCGTGAATGTGCATGTATATAACAATGTTATAAGTTTGGTTTTAAATTAATGATAACAAAGTCAATATCTATACAAATAAAAACAATGTTTAAAGATCTAATTAGAGTGTTGAATGTGTGACCTTTTAGAATAAGTTTATTTAAAGGATCGATTTACTCGGTTTGTATCTGAATTTCCGGACCCGGTAAGCAACATCTCCCTAAAAAATAGGATATGCTATCCTGTTTGAAATAAGTTTTCTACATGAACAGCCAAGACTTAGTTCATAATAGGGAAATTCACTATGTTCGTAGACTTAAACTGGCATACAGTATATTATCAAAATAGAAATATGTAGGACTCGAACCGCTATGGTCACGCTGAAATGCAATAGCATAAACGGTACCAATGTTTCTGCTCCAGATGCGCATTTCGACAATCTATGTCTTTTCAGTGATGCTCGAGGCCAAAATATTTGAAAATCCAAAACGTATTAAAATGATGAAGAGCTATAAACCAAAAAGGACAAAAAAGTATAGCCAAAGCAGGGCAAGGAATCAGAGCTTTGCAAGAGGGAGATACATTCCTTAATTTTAAATAATTTCAAAAATTTTGAAGCAGGAAATTTTAATAACACATAATCCGTATTTTCATGCCAGTACCGACGTAATGTGGCATTGTGATGCTATCTTGTTGTTTGCTACACCGAAGTGCTATATAATACATGTTTTCTATATTTTGCAAGTTCTCATGCCGATGTAGAAATCGATTTGTTTGTCAGTAGTAGCTTCTTTTTTTAAGTAAAGCATTTAATTTAAACAGTAATGGTAAACAGTCATTGCATTTCCATTCCCAACTGTAACGTTGGAATGTACTCAGTGAATAGTTTAGAAAAAAACCTTCGTTCATAAATTGATCACTATAGAAGCTACATACAAAGGTTATTTTCCTTTTAAACCAGTACTAATTACAATGACTGAAAACGTGGAAGTTGTTGGAAATGCAAATACTACTTGATTAGTCAAAACGAAACAAAATTAGCTAAACATCTTTACGGCTGCTGTCAATGAGAACAAGGAATAAGATAGATCATCAGGTTAATTGTTTTTTCTTCAACTGGAGAACATTTTGAATGTTAGGTATCTATATATACAAATTAATAAAAAAAGAATTAAACTCTAATAAAAATTGGTTATCTGTAGATTTAAAACTCGTTTTATAGACTATCGCGCATCAGTAAAAGGACCATCGCCAGAATATGGCATGTCATGGGGACCATCGCACTTCAGCGTCCCGATCGAACCTATATATAAACACAAACAGTATAGGCCGGTTAAAGATATCATTTCCGACCTGTTAAAAAATTTCTATTCCAAATGATTTTTTAAAACTTTGAATGTTGGGCCAAATTTTCCGACCCTATAAAGGGCTTTAAGCAGTCTCAGAACTGTCGGTTTTGGAAATTTATTCTGCCTCCATTTGATGAATACTTTTCTATTCTGTTCCAGAAGTTTGTTTTTAAGATCATGCTGAATCTGCTGTAAATAAGATAAATCCACCTCTAACTCGATGGCAAGCTGCATTGTGCTGTTCCCGATGTGGTTTGACAAATCATGAAGCGCATCGACAGACGGAATTTTGTTCAGTTTCTCGTCTGCCATATCTAAAACAATAAAACAGACAACTGGTATTTTTTATAGTGTTTATATATTAAATTATAAAATAAATCAAAATCAACACGAATGCTACAAATTGTACTTTACCAGAAGCACATTTCGACAATCAATGTCTCTATTCTGATGCAATTATTTGTAAAAGAGTTGATAAATAAAAATAGGACCAAGTAAGTTTACAGGACAACCGTAAAGGTCTATGGGTATAAAAACTTCTTATACATCTTCGATGCAATGTACTTAAACACGTTGTCGTATCTATCCATTACGCTCTTAATCAGGTCATATTCAAACACTTAAGAAAAATATTTTCCTTATCATTTGTAAGTTATCTGTAATTTTGGAATTCGTTTATAGATATAAGAAATTCTGATGAAGTTTATTTGAATAATAGAATTAAGTTCAAAATTCGTTTTTGTTTTATTCCTGTTTAGGAATTATTTACCCAGTTGCACTTGATCGCGATGGTCTCAATTTTCATGACTTTCTGGAATGATGTAAAATTGAGAATGGAAACGGGAAATATGTCAAAGTGACAACAACCCGACCAAAGAGCAGAAAACAGCACAAGGTCACGAATGGGTCTTCACCACAGCGAGAAAATCCTGCACCCGGAGGCGGGCTTCAGCTGGCCCCTTAACAAAAACGTGTACTAATTCAGTGAAAATGGCCGTCACACTGAACTACGAAACATATAATTTAACTAAAATTAAAAACAAAAAACGTACAAGAGGCTCCTGCGGGGTTAAACATGTTTTGAGAGATCTCAACCCTCCTCCTATACCTCTAGCCAATGTAAAATAAATAAACAGACAGCAATGCGCACAGTAAAACTCAGTTTAAAAGAAGTCCGAGTTCGATGTTAGAATAGGTAACAGAAGAAACTTAGCAATATGACAATGATATATAAATTAACAAAGAACTACTAGCAGTTACTGACATGCCAGCTCCAGACCTCAATTAAACTGATTGAAAGATTATGTCTTCATCATATGAAAATCAAGCACAATCCCACTCGTTAGGGGTTTAGTATCATACTATCATAAAATATATGAGAAAACATAACCCCCTATCATGCCAACAGCTGGTTTTAGAATAAATGTGTTTATTTCCGATGCAAAGACCATATTAGTGAAACAATATTAATTCCAAAATAAAAATCATCATTAATGACCTAAAACAGTATCGTTACTATAGCCCTTCTAAATAAGTCTGTTTAAAGGTTTGGTTAGCTTTTGAGGTGAATGACGACATTTTTGTGCTTTGTTTAGAATATTACCATGAAGGATTGGATGTGAAATACCTGAAAGTATAATATGTCTGCATGCTGATTTATATTTACGACTGATTTCCTAGTATCGATGATAAGATTAAGTAAATGTTTTGACTAGTTTGTGATATCGAAAACCCTGGTGTAATAATTTGTCAGTAATACATAAATTTCTTTCGTTAAAATAAAATACTTTGTAACATACACAAGCGAATCGAACCCTTTGAGATATACAAACAACATAAGATGGTGACAACGGAACGTCCCCATCTAAAAATGGATAATCAACAATAGGAAATGAAAAATCATATCTTTATCGTAAATTGTTCTATTAAGCTTCCCGCTAACGAAATAGATATCAAGATCCAAGAAAGGGCATTGATCATTGTTAGTCTTAGCTTTATTTAAAGTTAGTTCAGCAGTATAAATCTCTTAAGCGTAAAACCTGAAGTCGTCATTATTGAGAGCCTATATATCATCCAAACATCTAAAAGTATCAGATGTTGTTTCGATGGGTCTTTTCTGATTTTAGTCATAAGTTGTAACTCAAGACAATACAGACACAGGTCCGCAATAAGTGGTGCACAGTTAGTCCCCTATGTCTACTTTTAAATACAGCAGTCGGTATTTTAACATAAGTGACAATAAAGCCCTATCATCAAAGCACGTTTTTTTAGCTGTCAGTTTTTCATTCAAGTGTATATGATATTGTTTGGTTTCTAGTGCTTTATTGATTTTGTGTACTTTACAAGCGAGAATTATCAATCCGAATAAAAATAGTAGGACAAATATCCGGTATCGATTTCTTGTTAAAATGCGTACAACTTTCCAAAAAATTACAACAAGAAAAAAAGAGTTGACTTACCAGAAACATCTATCACCACATCTCTGAACACCTAATAAAATAAATGCAATTTGTTCATCAAATAGGCATTTCAATATCAGATGCTATGAATTAAGTAAATTATCTATGAGAAACATTTAAAAAAACAATCCCACAACTTAAACCGAAGAAAAGAGAGGCTTTCAACAATTTTTTGAGAAATAAAATTGTTCACAAAGATACCAGGAAAATATGTTTCAAAATCTTGGCAAAATATGTTATTGTCTTAAGCCAAAATACCGCGTTTCTCATGGGAAGAAACAAACTCCAATTTGAAATATTCGCTCTAACAAATAAGCATATATACAAATACAAAAGCTCAAGACGAGCATGCTACAATAACAATACGACGAATGTTTTCTTGGTCATTTTAATATCATGACATTTCTCCACTTTAATTTTTGTTTAGCTTTCATTCTTGTTTCTCTATTTGCCTAATGTAAGGTTCCGTTTTTTTTTTGTATAAAAAAACAAAGATGTTGTTTAGAGGTATCAGATTGATGCTATCAATTTTAATATAACTTCATTTCTTTAAACGTTCAAGATTATACCTGACAGAGTAAATGAGCACTCAGTCCTTTGTCTTCTAGAACATTTTTCAGGTCATGGAAACTACAATTCTTTCTCTTAAGTATACTAGACCATAATGCCATAAATTTAAGGTCATTTGACGTTTGGTGCTGGAATTGGTGTTCTAAATCATGCCATTCTTCTGCCTGAAATCCTAACAAAATGGCGATCTCACGGATCTCCACAGGAGAGAGTCGGGCAGCTAGCCTCACAATATGCTGTGGTAAAGGACACTGTTCACTTTCTAATCTCCCAAGTCCTAAAACATTGATTAAGAGTCTTGTCATATATTACATATAGAAGAAGATTAAACACGATCGGATATATATATTTATGATTAAAAAGGAATTAATTCCTCATACTGGACACATTTATGACATTTCTAGTACGTAACGAAATGAAGTAAATGAAAAAGTACTCAGTTTATATTACCACATTTGGATTCCTCGGAAAAACCAGATAAATCTATGTTCGTATGTTTTATTGAATATGTATAAAGATCCTATTTCCATGATTGCATCCTTATATAATGTTTATGATATGCTACTATAGAAGTGTCTAATTAACTTTTACTTAAATTACTTTAATTGTGTGTCTTATGGCATTTTTGTTATTTAGAGATTTTTGTGTTGATTATAGATTTTGATTGCTATTTTAGCTAAAAGCAAATGTTAATTTAGCTCATGTATAAGAAACGTTGGTAACATTTAATATCTATCTTTGTTTCTTATAGAAACTACAATTATATATAATCTGTATTGAAATAGCAAGTACAATACAGGCACAACTGCATAATACTTTATCGTGATTTTATTTAAGAAAGGCATTATATGTTTAAACCCGCTGCATTTGTTTGCACCTGTCTTTAGTCAGAAACCTGATGTTCAGTAGTTGTCGTTTGTTGATGTGGTTCATAAGTGTTTCTCGTTTTTCGTTTTTTATATAGATTAGACTGTTGGTTTTCCTGTTTGAATGGTTTTACACTAGTCATTTTTGGGGCCCTTTATAGCTTGCTGTGCGGTGTGAGCCAAGGCTCCGTGTAAAAGGCCGTACTTTGACCTATAATGGTTTTCTTTTACAAATTGTGTCTTGGATGGAGAGTTGTCTCATTGGCACTCATACCACATCTTCTTATATCCATTTACACTTACCGTCGCATGATATTTTACACACATTACATGGTTCCTGTAAAATAAGTAATTTTGTTGATAACAATCACAAATAAAACGAATTAAAAAACAATGCATTGCGTAAAACACTTACTGAATTAATCATGACGATCATAGAATCCCGAAATCATCAATTAACTTAGATGATATTAATTGCCAAATATCTCTCTCTCTCTCTCTCTCTCTCTCTCTCTCTCTCTCTCTCTATATATATATATATATATATAAAGGCTACCAATATAACTTTACTCAAATCATTTATCAACACCTTAAGAAGCACAATCATCCTATTAAATATTTAGCAGTTCAACCTTTAGAAGTAGTAAATAAGCAGCCTGGTGAATTTCATTCAAAGTTTGTATGATCGCGGAAAATAGTTGAATTAAATTGGATTAAAAAATTACAGACAGTCTACCCTCTCGGTCTTAATGATAATATCATGGGAATTGGTAATATATCAAGAACCGATTCTGTTAACATTTTGGATATAGTTTCTAAAACTGTTCGTAAAAACCGTTCTCATGGTCGTAGAAAAAATCGCAATCAAAGAAAATTTCAGACCAATCATACCAATATTTCGGACCTAATTTCTATTTCAAAAAACAACGGCAGACATTATCTGTTAACAAAGCTCTGTTCATTACCGGTTAATAAGTTAAATAAAATTTTAGAGGATTGCAACACAATTTCATATAGCAGTCCTAAGTATGAAATCGTTCAAATTATAATGGCATATTGTTATTCTAAACTGTTTCCCAAAATTGATCGCCCTGAAGATCATAAAAAACAGTTTATTAAAATAAAGTATGTCAATACTGGTTTTGATTTTGTAAATATTGACGGTATTTTTAACGACCATTCTGTTAAGGAACAAATTCCGGGATATTTTGATAATACTGAGCTCCCTCTTATTTGTTATATTTACAAGAAATCTACCCGGAAATTTGTGTTTAATTATAGCCAATTGTGTAAAGATGTTAATATCAGTGAAAATACACCTACTTCATGTAATTGCAGTAATTCCGAATACATTTATGGACCCATTTCCCATGTTATCACAGGAGATCTTAACATCGTTCAAGACCGAGAGTTAAAATCATTCCTCAGTAAAGGACCTAAATATCGTCCCCCGTCAATTATTAATTGGAACGAGTGTCGTAATATCATCCACGACTCACTCCATACTTACTGTTTGAAATGGATAAAACGGGAAAAAGCTGACAAAAAATCTTTGGACTCTTTTTTTAAATCAGTAATGAACATAGTTGATATACGTATTCAACATTTCAAAGAACATTTTACTCTTAACAATAACCACAATAAACCTATTTCTCGTATCAAACATAAACTAAAAGAACTAGCCAAGGAATTTGTTTTTGTCCCGGCCGATAAAGCTGCTAATAATATTATTATTGTTTGACGTAAATTTTACATTGAGGTTCTGAAAAAAGAAATCACCAATTCACCAACATTCCAACTGACTCCATTTTCAGAAAACGACATCTGTAACAAACATAAACTTTTAGCTACCGCTTTACAAGCAGAACCAAATACAATGAAAGTCCCAACTATGTATTGGCTTCCGAAGCTACACAAAACACCTTACAAATATAGATTCATTTCGTCTTCAAGCCATTGTTCCACTACTAAATTGTCTATTCTTCTTACCAGTACACTTGGTACAATAAAAAACCTGATAATAAATTGTTCAAATAAGGCCTTCGAAAATAGTGGAATTAATTACTTTTGGAGTGTCAAGAACTCGTTGGAAGTACTTGATAAATTGCATGCATATATTGGTGATTTTGAATCTGTTCAAAGTTTTGATTTTTCTACCCTATATACCACATTGCCTCACATTCTCATTAAGAAAAAATTCACACACCTAATTAAATGGGCATTTAAAAAGTCAGAATGTGAATATATATGTTCAAACTCTTTTAGGTCATTTTTTATTGGCAATAAACAAAAAAACTATGTCAATTGGACATGCTTTGATACTATATATGCCCTTGAATTTTTACTAGATAACATTTTTGTTCGCTTTGGAGATTCCGTATATCGTCAGGTTATCGGAATTCCAATGGGGACTAACTGTGCACCACTTATTGCGGACCTTTTTTTGTATTGCTATGAGTTACAATTTATGACAAAAATCAGCAAAGACCCATCGAAACAACATCTGATACACAAATTTAATAATACTTTTATTTATTTGGATGATATTTTGGCTCTCAATAATGACGACTTTAGTATGTAAACTAAAGAAATTTATCCTGTTGAACTTACTTTAAATAAAGCTAATACTAACAATGACCACTGCCCTTTCCTCGATCTTGATATCTATATCATTAACGGAAAGCTTAATACTAAAATATATGATAAAAGAGATGATTTTTCATTTCCTATCGTTAATTATCCATTTTTAGATGGTGACGTTCCCTTGTCACCATCTTACGGTGTTTATATATCTTAACTTGTACGATTCGCTCGTGTATGTAACAATGTTTTAGATTTTAACGAGAGAAATTTATGTATTACTGAAAAATTATTACACCAGGGTTTTCGATATCACAAACTAGTCAAAACATTTACTAAATTTTATCATCGGTATAGGGACATCATTCGTAAATATAGCTCAACATGCAGACTTCTTATACGTTCAGGTATTTCACATCCAATTTTTTATGGAAATATTCTTTATAAAGCACAAAAATGTCAGTATTCACCTCTGAAGCTAACAAAACCTTTAAATAGACTTATTTAGAAGGGATATAGTTACGATACTGTTGTCAGGTCATTAAAGATTGCATATTTTGGCGTTAATATTGATTCACTTATAGGGTCTTTGCATCGGCACTAAACACATTTATTTAAAAACCAGTTGTTGTCATGACACGGGTTATGTTCTTCTCATATATGTTATGATGGTATGATACTAAACCCCTAACGGGAAGGATTGTGCCTGATATTCATATGATGAAGACATAATCTTTCAATCAGTTTAATTGAAGTCTGGAGCTGGCATGTCAGTTATCTGCTAGTAGTCTGTTGTTATTTATGTATTATTGTCATTTTGTTTATTTTCTTTTCTTTTATTGTCTTCTGACATCAGACTCGGACTTCTCTTGAACTGAATTTTAATGTGCGTATTGTTATGCGTTTACTTTTCTACATTGGCTAGAGGTATAGGGGGAGGGTCTCATAAACATGTTTAACCCCGCCGCATTTTTGCGCCTGTCCCAAGTCAGGAGCCTCTAGCCTTTGTCAGCCTTGTATTATTTTTAATTTTAGTTTCTTGTGTACAATTTGGAGTTTTGAATGGCGTTCATTATCACTGAACTAGTATATATATTTGTTTAGGGGCCAGCTGAAGGACGCCTCCGGGTGCGGGAATTTCTCGCTGCATTGAAGACCTGTTGGTGACCTTCTGCTGTTGTCTGTTCTATTGTCGGGTTGTTGTCTCTTTGACACATTCCCCATTTCCATTCTCAATTTTATGATAAAATTGAGAATGGAAATGGGGAATATGTCAACGAGACAACAACCCGACCAAAGAGCAGACAACAGCCGAAGGCCACCTATGGGTCTTCAATGCAGCGAGAAAATTCCGCACCCGGAGGTGGTCCTCAGCTGGCCCCTAAATATAATTGTGTGCTAGTTCAGTGAAAATAGACGTCACACTAAACTCCAAAACATATAAATGAACTAAAATTAAAAAACATACTAGATTAAAAAGGTCAGAGGCTCCTGACTTGGGACAGGCGCAAAAATGCGGCGGGGTTAAAAATGTTTTGTGAGATCTCAACCCTCTCCCTATACCTCTAGCCAATGTAGAATAAAGAAACACATAGCAATACGCACATTAAAACTCAGTTTAAAAGAAGTCCGAATCCGATGTCAGAAAAGGTAACAAAAGAAAATAAGTAAAATGACAATGATACATAAATGAACAAAGGACTACTAGCAGTTACTGACATGCCAGCTTCATACCTCAATTAAACTGATTAAAAGATTAATATATTTTAAAACCTTCAAATACTTTGCAGATGAATTTATTTTCTACTCATACTTTACCTTTGAGGAAAACCAAGCACTAAGGTTTTTAGTTGCATGTCGTTGCTTGTGCTTTTTACAAATCCATACGGCTTCATCAGTTGATAAATGCATCTCATTGTGATCAAAGAAACACATTTTTGATTTGCAGAATACTCCAAATTCAATGTTGAACGGTAGGACTGTACTTGCATTCGCAGATGTTATGTCTTCGGATAACACTGAGTAGAATTCGGATATTCTTACTATTGCCGCTGTAAGACATTCTTGAAGAGAAGAAGCAAGAGTTGGAATTATATCTTCTTTTGTCTTGGCATGGATAAGGGAGACAATGACTCTATTTGTTTCCACTTGGACTGCTACGTCATGAGAGCTATCAATCGTGACAATAGCAAGATCACTGAAAAACATTCTTTTTTCTCTGTTTCTTCCTTTATAATTCTTTATATCCCACGATGTGATTAAAGAACTCAAAAAGCGATATGACAAGGCTGGAGGTATAACCTGTTCAGTAAACGAATAAGCTAGAATGATGGAATTATTCGAATTCCGAAACTTTTTAAGGTACATGGTGTCATTTCCTTTTGTTACCATACAGGGGACCATAAAGCGAGAAACATCGTTTATCGGAATGTTTACACCTCCAAAGCTAGTCCTAGGTGCAATTATAACATCAAGATGTACAAGGATTTGAATCATATATTCCTTGTATGGCAGAATTTGGTTGAAGTCGTCCTGTTCCCAGAGAAAGTAGATATCATTCCGTTCAATCATTCCAGTTTCCTGAAGATTACTCAAAATTCTAGAAAACAACTCTCCTTTAGGCCAGAACTGGATTTCTCTGACTATAGATCGCAGGACTTCTACTAAGTATGCTGGTGATATAATGATAAAATGACGTAGGTTTTCTAAATCAAAGTACAACAGTTTCCCAAGTGAATGTTGAACCTTCAGAAATGTTTCTATCTGCTTATCTGATAAAACCATTGACTCATTTTTAGAATTTAATGCCAATAGTTGATCACGGGAAATAATATTTGTGCCTTCTGCCGATTTCTGGGCCAACTGTAACTCCAATGGAATCCATCTTGTTGGCATTGATTCGCCCCATCTAGGATGTTCTGTTGCCCTTTGCATCAGCCTTTCTCTTAGATCTTCAATTTCAGGATCTTCTGGGTTTGTGGCATCAACAAATATCAACGGTTTAAATTCCAAATGCTTCAAACCAGAATGTGTTTCAAACAACTGTTGCAGCTCATCTTCGAGTTGGTTTCTTCGAGCTTCTTGTGTCCACTGTAAATCAGACTATATATTGTTACCAGCAGAACATGTTTACGAATTTAAAACTCATGTATAATATCACTGTATACATCAGGTACATACATATAAATATATTGAATTCAATAAATTATTATGAATCAAATAAATATAATGAAAGTCCTGCCATTAAAACGGGTCTGCATTTAAGGACAAAGGTGTCAATACAATACTACTTCATCTAGCATGTTTTTCTCATTTATTTTTTGTTTAGTTACATACATCTGTTTGTGCAGTATCGTCAATTTTGTACGATACGATAAATAATACATTTGCAGATTGATTCCTATCTTAAGACTCTTGCGTGTGTATATATATATATACGCATAAAAAGTGAACAAATCAACACCAATATTAAAAAAAAGAAACATTAAAAGTATTATCTGTAAATCTTTCGGATAACAGATATACTTCATCAGTATGATTATGATGTAAAATAAACCATATCAATCAATCTATTCTAATTTAACTATAACAATCTTGAATTTTATACAACTAAAACCGAACACAACAACGCTTGTACAATTCTAAAATTTCAAAAATGACATAGGTAAGGCATTTACAAAAGAGTCTGCACAGATATGCTACTAACAAAAATAGTAATGTGCAATATGAACAGGTATATTTCTAAAATTTCAGCAGTTTGATAATGACTAAAAAGAATAATAACAATTTTGAAACAGGTTAAGTAATTGAACGTGGCTGCGTACTTAAACATCCAAAATGAATACATCTTGCGATTTAAACTGGTACAATTCTAGAATTTTAGAGTTGACAAAAGTAAAGGAATAGCAACAGAGACTGCGTAGTAATATGAAATATAATCCAAATAAAAAATCGTTCGCGAATTAGAACTACACCTGTTCATTGATCCCATTTGGTGCCAAAGTATTTGATTTTCTTATCCAAAATCTTTCCCGAGCGAGTATATCTTCCCAAGACAAAGCAGTGTTGTGGTCTATGATTGCAATGATCAGTTGATTGAGATCTGCCAGAGTGTGACCAGGGGATCTCAGGGGATCTCGACTGAGAGGAAGGTCTGGCTTGCATTCATAGCCGCTAAGATGGCCGTTCAAACATTTATGAAATGGCTGTTCTGACTCGCCAACATAATGTTTACCACATTTACACTGTAGGAGATACACAGCATTTTTAGTCTTGCAATTAACATTGCAAAATATGGTGTAATCCGTACCAGTGGAGTGACTGTTAAAAGCCTAGGTATTCAGTATGTGCTTGCAAGTCAGACATCGTTTGTTTCCGCATCCCTTGGAAGGGCCCACAAACGAAGAGCCTTATTTAAAGGATAAATCAGCTCTCACCAGCAGGTTTTTAAGGCTTTTGGGCTTACGGAATGCCAGTACAGGTGGCTCGGGAAAGATCGTGGATAGTTTGGATTGAAAAGGTGTAGTTCTAATTCGCGCAGTGCTTTTCATTTGGGTTATATTTCATATTACTACGTAGTCTCTGTTGCTATTCCTTTACCTTTGTCAACTCTAAAATTCTAGAATTATACCAGTTTAGTCGCAGGGTGTATTTAGAATGTATAAGTATGCAGCCACGTTCAATTACTTAACCTGTTTCAAAATTATTATTTTTTTTAATCATTATCAAACTGCTGAAATTTTAAAAATGTACCTGTTCATATCGCACATTACTATTTTTGTTAGTAGAATATCTGTGCAGTCTCAGTTGTAAATACCTTATACCCCCATCATACTAGGACTACGATCCCGATACGATCTCAGAAATGATGAAAAATTTTGAAAGTCGTAGTAAGATCGTGGTGGTCGTGGTTAGGTCGTAGTAATGGCGTGCCAAGTCTTCATGATCGTGGAGGTCCACGAACAACTTTGAACATGCTCAAAATATTCATAGTACAGTCGTCGCCAAAATTCGTCGTAGTAGAAGCGTAGGAAGGTCGCAGTAAGAACGTAGTAAGATCAGGATGGGCGTAGAAGCATCGTATTAGAAACAAGGTGCAATCGGAGAAGCCAATGGAAAATATTTTGCTGCGACCTAACTACGATTTCAATGCGACTATCCCGATTTCACCACGTCTTTATAACGCTTCTACTACGATATTGATACGATTATACTACGATGAGGATGACAATAATACGCTGCTACTACTCGCTCGTCGTCCTCAGTACGACCTCACTACGATTCTACTACATCCTAGCCACGATAATTGCACGACCTTATTCTGTTGATACCTCTTTTTTTAGCACCACGACCTCAAAGGTTTTAAATACCTTTAGTGGCATATTCTCTCAAGGAAACTGATGTGTACAATAGGAAAGTCAAGATATTTATAGGGACGAGGAGCGTAGTGACAACGAAGTTGAAATGTAGTGGAGTCGTGGTTCGATCGTAGTAGACTCGTATTGAAATTGTAATGCGATCGGGGAGATCTTCTACGACAACACTGCCTAGCATTGCGCAGACGCCTTAGTTGAATTTTAGGCATTTTATTAATATTCTAACGCCTGGTATTTCTTAATCATAAGAAATCCGATGGACAAGGTATAATTTACAGTTGTCACTACACATAGGCAGACATACATATATATAAATTTACAGTGATTGTATGATCTAACAATAGAACAACACCCTGTAATTATACTCAAGAGATGCGTAGATGATCATTTCTGTACACTTAAAAATACTTTATGTATTGCGTTAGATGTCCTTGTTTAGTTCCTATGAGAAGGTAACACCTCCCGAAACGAAAGCTGATTTTTATCGGCTATAGCTAGAGGTGGGGATAACGGTTGCAATAGATGTTTTTCATAACGAGATTGTCGGCTTGTGGGACCCCGCCTCTCTGTACGGATAAACCAATCAGAACCCTCAGTAAAAGATCGCCGTCGGAAACATGCTTGTGGTTTACAGAATGGAAAGCACCTTGCAGCGGAAATTATTTTAACTTCTACGTGAAAATCAAACAAGAAATATAAGTGTAAGACACCTGATATGAAAATTTTATGAAACATACGTTGTTTCTTTTGTTAATCATTCGTTTCAGAATGCAAACAAAATGGCACATTATAAGAAAAAAAAAACAAGTTCAGTGTTGGTAAGCATGGAATACATGTGGTCAAAACGAGACTAGACTGCAAAAAATATATGAAATTTGAATAATTATTAGAATCCAGACAGTAAATAAACAGAGTATCAAATGAAATAAGTTCACTGCATCTTGTCTAGATCCATTCTCATCATTCACCCTGAAATTCGTTCATATTTTACGTTTTGCAGGCATCCTGTCGGGGTAAATTTTAACACTGCCACTGACTCCACAGTTCCTTGCGAGCCCGGAGCCCACGTTGCTGGAGTCAAAATTAAAAAGAAAAAATAGGGCACTGAAATTCAGCAACAGGATTTATTAACAGAAAAGGTCCAGAGAAAGCGTTTGACTAGTATTGGGTAAACCAATCTTTCATCTTTTTAATGTTGGGTGGTGGGGGTAGGATCTATCTAGATACAATCAATTTTTATCTGGCTATATATACAATGTTAATTTCTTTTTTGTCGAATCACGAAGCAGAGCTACATGTACCACCCTGTTAAGTCTCAGCGTGAATACGAACAATCTAGGCTTGCTTTATTTTGGGTAGCTGTAAATTGCTTTTAGTTTTTTCTTAATTTTATATAGTTGTTGGAAAACCCAAACTCTATAGGCCACACAGACTGACAAATTTACAGAATAAATTTATACAAGTACATAATATACAGTGACATACATAGTTGCTAACATCTACATTATTTTATCTCTAGTGGATAGTTGTCTCATTGGTAATTAAACCACATTTTATTTTTATATTAAAACAAAAAACCTGCGCGCTAAAATTTCCTAAATCATGAGGCCTTGAAATATCCTTAAATTGATTTTGTGCTGCCATATAACATGTATAAAAAAACAAAAGTCAGAAAATTTTGGACTTTACAATGAATCGTAAAATTTGTGCTTTAATTTTTTGTTGAATGGTTTTAAAAAAATGTAGTACTTTTTTATAAATGTTTATAGGGGCTTGGAGTTTTTCCTTAAATCTTAGTAAAGATTGTTTCCTTAAACGTGCTAATTACTTTGGACACAGGAATTTCAAATTTCTGTGTGTGTTTTTGTATGCCCCACCTTAAGCAACGGGGGCAAGCCAAGCCCAGTTTTAGTTACCGCACTAACTAGTTTGTTTCATGCAAATTGTATGAAACTCAACAACACTTACCGTTATCTTGATGATATTTTTTTCGTTAAATAATCAAGAATTTTCTAAACATACTGCCGAAATTTACCCAAAGGAACTTACTTTAAATAAATCACATATAAACGGTAATAACTGTCCTTTCCTAGATTTAGATATTTCAGTTTTACACGAGAAAGTCCACACTAAAATTTACGACAAAAGGGACGAGTTTTCGTTCCCATTGTGATTTTTCTTTTTTTGGATGGTGATGTTCCTTTGGCACCATCTTATGGTGTTTATATATCGCAACTCGTTCGCTATGCCCGTGTCTGTTGTGACGTTTTGGATTATAACGAACGTAATCTATGATAGGGATTTCGTAACCACAAATTACTTAAAACTTTACTTAATTCTTTAATAGATATAAAATTTTGGTTTTGAAGTTTGGTTGTACCTGTAGAACACTTATTTCAAACGGGATAGCCTCATTTTTACAGAGATGTGCCAGGAAATTTAGAAACGATCTTGGTAAACTTATCGACCCTTTAAACAAACTTATCCTAAAGGTTACCAATTCAACACTGTAATCAGATCTTTGAATATTGCTTTTATTGATATTAATATTATTTTGTTATCAGTAAATTAAAAGCAAAATAAATATTATTGTTATATAACAAAGCATATTAATGGTTCTAAATTCTGTCGATACCTGTATCTTGGCATTGCACAAGGTCATATTTTTCTCTGACTGTTCTTTTCTAAACCCATTGGATGTTGGATGTGTACTGA